TTTATTATATTACTAAATTATATTGATTAACAATTAAAATATAATAATATAATAATAATACTACTTTAATAAATATACTATATAATAATATAAAATTAAAAAAATTTTAATCATACATGTAATAACTATTTATCAAAACTCAATTATTTTTTTATAATGTTATTTCATTTGTGTATCAAATCTATTTTGAATAACAATAACAAGTAACTGATTATAGTAATAGAAATTAATTATTTTTATTATTATATATAGAGTTTGTTGTATAATGTTGTTCCAGTCACCAAAGTTGTTTTTTTATCAATTTATACACAAATAATTGTTTAAACCCCCAGGAATTAGGTAAAAATTGAAAAAATTGGGAAAAAAACTGAAACGACGATTTTTTTATATTTTGAACATGATCCCGGTATTTTCCAGTTTTCATTGACCAAAAAGCCCAGGACAACGTTTTCCGACTAACTGTATTATAATTAAATATCTACAAAACACATCAATTTATTTAACGGCACATTAGACGATATTTACATGACCTCAAACATCTCTTTTTCAACAGGAACAAAGGCAGATTTTGTTCCCAAAGACTTGAGTACAATTGATCGAATCTTTGTACACGCCTGTTCATGTTTGTTCATATTATGTTTGATTTTGCTCAAATGGGAACAATATCTATTTTTAACTGCATTCGGTGTTCTTCCATATAACTCCTTCGATATCAAAACCCAATGATTACCAATATCTTTTTGCATTTGAAGAATTATTTTATCTTCTTCTGCTGTGAACGGGTCTTTTGATATTAATGTACTCAAAGAATTAATATAGTGCTCTCTGCATTGTTTCTTCGTTCGATTTGGAATGTCTAGTACTACTTTGGACCAATTGGTCTCCCCATTCCTCCGGACAGAATCTAGTAAGGCGGCATCTTCTTCTTTGGTCCACCTCACCTTTTTGGTTTGTTTCTTTATTAAATACTTGTGCATTAAAGTGTCTTTGCTTGTCTGCTCAGATGTTTGTTCCACAGAAGTTGTACTCATGAATGTTCAAACTCAGATGAAATATATCCTTTTATATTAATATTTTCATCAAAACTCTCACTTCTCAAGAAATAATCCAATCTCAAGAAAACGGTTTCTGACTTGTCTCGAACTTTTTTTTCAGTGTGTAAAAGACGCTTATTTTGTAAAAGTTATAACAAGTTTTTTGGTATCAAAACAAATTGTTTCGGTTTTAATATAAAATGTCGGGAATTAAAAAAAGTCCGGTTTTGAATTATTTTCTTTTGACAAAAAAATTCAATGAAATTTGATGTATTTTTATTCGTGGATTAAAAAAATCTTTTTTTCGTTTTTTTAAAATAAAACGTGGTATTATTTCGGTCGAATTTGTAATTCCAACATTTACAATGGTTTTTGTGATTGTAATAATAATAATATACGAAATGTCCTGCAAATTTGAATGAATTAACGCAGAGAAAAATAATTGTAATTTTAACACAAAATATTGGGTTTTGTTCAATTGGAATAAAAATAATAACAAAAAAGGGATGGGGTTATATTTTTTTTACAACTTTATAACAGTGATATTAAAACTGATAAAACTGGCAATTTGGACATTTCAATGACCTAAAAACAGAATCAAGATTTTCCAGAAAATTCTTGAAAAAGTCATCTCAACAGTGCTATTTGTTATTTTTTTATTTAATTTTGCCATTTGAGAAATAAAAAGACAAATAAAACCAATAATTTATTATATTAATATTAATTTCAATAGTTTACATTAAAATAACAACAATAATATCAATTATAAAACAGAAATAATTCGGTTTTTTAATAGTAACCGAATTGAAAATATAATTCAACTTGTTCCAAAAATTAAAAGAATAAAACTTGTATCGTTAAATCATTTAGAAACCTAAATGCACTATACAGGAAAAGTTTACTCCATTTTTTTAAAAACATAACAAATTTTAATAAAGCTACATTTATAATAAACAGTTAAATTGAACTTAAAAAATAATGTCGATATTATCATTGTAAAAGACTTGGTATTATTCCAAATTTAATCTTATGCAAGACTGTTCATATAATATTTATTATAATAAAATAATTATAATAAATTATAAATTTATATATATTTTTTATTGTTTCTAATATACTACTATTAGACTGTGAAAATGAATTTATTAGACTTAAATTTAATTAATAAAATTTCGCATAAGGTTGGGTATTTTAACTGAAATTCGATATTTCATCGTTACCAAGTACACAATGTAATTTATATTTGAAGACCAAAAATATTTCTTCTTATACAAAACTTCAAACTGAAACAAAAAGAATAATTAAAAAGAAAAATCAGTTTGTGTTTTGATTCCCTAATTAAGGTTAAAATATTCAAATAAATCGCAAAACTTGTTGTAAATTGTGTGCCTTGTTCTAGACAAGTATTGTGATTTTTAAAAAACAACAATTGTTTTGAATCAACCAATTTATAAACAATTTATCATTTAATATTTTTGAAAATCTTTTACTTGTACAGAGACTTGAAAAAACGCAAATAAATACACATTATAAAACACAGGAGACAAATTAAACGACTTATAAAAAAGGAAGTTGTTTGTTTTTGTGATTATTGATAACTCATTTACTTGATTGATTTGAATATATTTGATCGTGATTTCGCTTTTTGAAATTCAAATGAAAAAACTAACATAATTCTAATAATAAAAATTGAACATGTAATCAATACATTATGTGTCAATTAATAATTATAAATAATTTGTGTACTAATTTACAATTAATACATTTCTATAAAGTTTAAATATTTTAAGGATTTTCTTGTAATGTTTTGTTATAACCATTCTTCC